GACATTTCGGGGTTTTTAGCATCGTTTTGATTGCAGATATTTAAAGAGGAAAAATAGCCTATTTTAAAACGCTCATAACTCCTTAAATATTGACATTTCGGGGTTTTTAGCATCGTTTTGATTGCAGATATTTAAAGAGGAAAAATAGCCTATTTTAAAACGCTCATAACTCCTTAAATATTGACATTTCGGGGTTTTTAGCATCGTTTTGATTGCAGTTTCTTTATAGCCTGCTTTAGAACGCTCATAACTCCTTAAATATTGACATTTCGGGGTTTTTAGCATCGTTTTGATTGCAGATATTTAAAGAGGAAAAATAGCCTATTTTAAAACGCTCATAACTCCTTAAATATTGACATTTCGGGGTTTTTAGCATCGTTTTGATTGCAGATATTTAAAGAGGAAAAATAGCCTATTTTAAAACGCTCATAACTCCTTAAATATTGACATTTCGGGGTTTTTAGCATCGTTTTGATTGCAGATATTTAAAGAGGAAAAATAGCCTATTTTAAAACGCTCATAACTCCTTAAATATTGACATTTCGGGGTTTTTAGCATCGTTTTGATTGCAGATATTTAAAGAGGAAAAATAGCCTATTTTAAAACGCTCATAACTCCTTAAATATTGACATTTCGGGGTTTTTAGCATCGTTTTGATTGCAGTTTCTTTATAGCCTGCTTTAGAACGCTCATAACTCCTTAAATATTGACATTTCGGGGTTTTTAGCATCGTTTTGATTGCAGATATTTAAAGAGGAAAAATAGCCTATTTTAAAACGCTCATAACTCCTTAAATATTGACATTTCGGGGTTTTTAGCATCGTTTTGATTGCAGTTTCTTTATAGCCTGCTTTAGAACGCTCATAACTCCTTAAATATTGACATTTCGGGGTTTTTAGCATCGTTTTGATTGCAGATATTTAAAGAGGAAAAATAGCCTATTTTAAAACGCTCATAACTCCTTAAATATTGACATTTCGGGGTTTTTAGCATCGTTTTGATTGCAGATATTTAAAGAGGAAAAATAGCCTATTTTAAAACGCTCATAACTCCTTAAATATTGACATTTCGGGGTTTTTAGCATCGTTTTGATTGCAGATATTTAAAGAGGAAAAATAGCCTATTTTAAAACGCTCATAACTCCTTAAATATTGACATTTCGGGGTTTTTAGCATCGTTTTGATTGCAGTTTCTTTATAGCCTGCTTTAGAACGCTCATAACTCCTTAAATATTGACATTTCGGGGTTTTTAGCATCGTTTTGATTGCAGATATTTAAAGAGGAAAAATAGCCTATTTTAAAACGCTCATAACTCCTTAAATATTGACATTTCGGGGTTTTTAGCATCGTTTTGATTGCAGATATTTAAAGAGGAAAAATAGCCTATTTTAAAACGCTCATAACTCCTTAAATATTGACATTTCGGGGTTTTTAGCATCGTTTTAATTGCAGTTTCTTTATATCCTGCTTTAGAACGCTCATAGCTCCTTAAATATTGACATTTCGGGGTTTTTAGCATCGTTTTGATTGCAGATATTTAAAGAGGAAAAATAGCCTATTTTAAAACGCTCATAACTCCTTAAATATTGACATTTCGGGGTTTTTAGCATCGTTTTGATTGCAGATATTTAAAGAGGAAAAATAGCCTATTTTAAAACGCTCATAACTCCTTAAATATTGACATTTCGGGGTTTTTAGCATCGTTTTGATTGCAGATATTTAAAGAGGAAAAATAGCCTATTTTAAAACGCTCATAACTCCTTAAATATTGACATTTCGGGGTTTTTAGCGTCGTTTTGATTGCAGTTTCTTTATAGCCTGCTTTAGAACGCTCATAACTCCTTAAATATTGACATTTCGGGGTTTTTAGCATCGTTTTGATTGCAGATATTTAAAAAGGAAAAATAGCCTATTTTAAAACGCTCATAACTCCTTAAATATTGACATTTCGGGGTTTTTAGCATCGTTTTGATTGCAGATATTTAAAGAGGAAAAATAGCCTATTTTAAAACGCTCATAACTCCTTAAATATTGACATTTCGGGGTTTTTAGCATCGTTTTGATTGCAGTTTCTTTATATCCTGCTTTAGAACGCTCATAGCTCCTTAAATATTGACATTTCGGGGTTTTTAGCATCGTTTTGATTGCAGATATTTAAAGAGGAAAAATAGCCTATTTTAAAACGCTCATAACTCCTTAAATATTGACATTTCGGGGCTTTTAGCATCGTTTTGATTGCAGTTTCTTTATAGCCTGCTTTAGAACGCTCATAACTCCTTAAATATTGACATTTCGGGGTTTTTAGCATCGTTTTGATTGCAGATATTTAAAGAGGAAAAATAGCCTATTTTAAAACGCTCATAACTCCTTAAATATTGACATTTCGGGGCTTTTAGCATCGTTTTGATTGCAGTTTCTTTATAGTCTGCTTTAGAACGCTCATAACTCCTTAAATATTGACATTTCGGGGTTTTTAGCATCGTTTTGATTGCAGATATTTAAAGAGGAAAAATAGCCTATTTTAAAACGCTCATAACTCCTTAAATATTGACATTTCGGGGTTTTTAGCATCGTTTTGATTGCAGATATTTAAAGAGGAAAAATAGCCTATTTTAAAACGCTCATAACTCCTTAAATATTGACATTTCGGGGCTTTTAGTATCGTTTTGATTGCAGTTTCTTTATAGCCTGCTTTAGAACGCTCATAACTCCTTAAATATTGACATTTCGGGGTTTTTAGCATCGTTTTGATTGCAGATATTTAAAGAGGAAAAATAGCCTATTTTAAAACGCTCATAACTCCTTAAATATTGACATTTCGGGGCTTTTAGCATCGTTTTGATTGCAGTTTCTTTATAGCCTGCTTTAGAACGCTCATAACTCCTTAAATATTGACATTTCGGGGTTTTTAGCATCGTTTTGATTGCAGATATTTAAAGAGGAAAAATAGCCTATTTTAAAACGCTCATAACTCCTTAAATATTGACATTTCGGGGTTTTTAGCATCGTTTTGATTGCCGATATTTAAAGAGAAAAAATAGCCTATTTTAAAACGCTCATAACTCCTTAAATATTGACATTTCGGGGTTTTTAGCATCGTTTTGATTGCAGATATACACGATCTTCTCAGCAGAGCTTGGGTTAATATAAATATTGTGATTTGTGTAATTTGAAGACAATCGGACACTTACATCACATTGTATAAGATTTATAATTATTCAAAATTTTTAACCTTTGTGGGGGTGACACTTGATGACCTGACCAAGAGCTGACGCAAATATTAGGATTTGTAAAGTTCGAGCAAAATCGGATTATTGCTTCTCTTTCTGTCAAAAAATATTTTTTGAAAATTTCGACCTTTTGTGGCGGAGGTACCAGTAGGATTGGACCGATACATTCCATCTTAACACTAGAACTTGGGTTGATAAAAGTATTGGGATGCTTAAATTTGAAGACAATCGACCTCATGTTATAAGAGTTGTAATTATTCAAAATTTTGACCCTTTGTGGGGGAGGTACTTGATGGAGTGAACCGATTTTTCGCACCTGACCTAGCACTGATGCAAATATTAGGATTTGCAAAGTTGGAGAAAAATCGGTTTATCGTTTCTCTATCTGTGCAGAAAATATATATATTTTTTTTTGAAAATTTCTATCTTTTGTTGGGAGGTACCAGAAGGAGTGGACCGATATATTCCATCTTAACTCCAGACCTTGGGATGATAAAAATATTGGGATGTGTGGAATTTGAAGACAACCGGACTCTTACATCACGTTTTATAAGTGTGGCAATTATTCAAAATTTTGACCCTTTGCGGGGGGAGGTACTTGATGAAGTGGACCGATATTGTCCATTTTTGCACCAGACCTAGCACGGATGAAAATATTCAGATTCGCAAAGTTGGAGCAAAATCGGATCATCCTTTCTCTTTCTGTGCAATATATTCGTTTCTTTGAAAATTTTGACATTTTATGTGGGAGGTACCAGAATGAGTGGATCGATATTGCATATCTTCGAAGTCGATCAAAGTTTGACAATAATATTAACAAGTACCAAGTTTGGATCAAATCGGATACTCCCTTGGAGAGTTATTGTGCGCAGCAGCCAGCCAGGCAGACGAACGGACGCTAGATCGACTCCAAATGTTCTGAAACGGATTTCCAAAGAGATCTAGGGTCTAAAACCGTAATTTCGACTAGGCACGTTTTGACCGTATCAAATAATATGTACCCTCTGTAGCCATGTGGCTGAGGGTATAAAAAATGTCAACAAATTGTATAGATTGGGTAAAAACATGATTCATGTTGGTCCAATGCTTTGTATAGTCTCTTAAGAAGGCTTAACTTCGATTAGAAATATTATTTACTTCTTAGTCATATTTTCCATTTAATTTCTCCAATATTTTTATAATTTGAAAATTTATTACGTGTAGCGTTTCTACATGATTGACAAAGAAACATTTTTTCCAAAAAGGCAATTATTCCAAGGAATCCTAATTTGAAATCTGAAAAAATTTATTTAGGTTACTTTGCGATCTCCTATAATTTACTGTTTTTTGCTGTATTTCTTTTTTTTCTCAGTACTATTTCCAAAATCTAATGCAAGAAAAAATCTTTTAATGTATTAAAGCCTTTAATTTAGAGAATTTCGAATTAGTACAGTGACAAATATTATACTCATATGCATTTTCCACCGAATTTATTTCTCATTCAATTCTAAAATCACAATATGCATTCGATTTTTATGACATATAGAATTTTTTTATTATATCCCCTATTTGTACATACTATCAATTCGTATTTTATCGATAATACTCTTTAAATTTCAGCTATTTTAACGGCTATTTATTTGTCTCTTGAATTGATTGGAGAATCATTTCATGTGAATCTCCCTTAATACTTCCCCTTTATTCTGTTACAAAAATTAAATGTCGATAACTAATCTCATATAACTGCATTGCCGACCTCTTGTGTTCACAATTCATTGTGAGTACTGCCCACCATGTTATCAATTCATGGTGATTACTACACAACACTTATTGTTAACAAGAAGAAGAATTTGTAAACAAACGATTTCACAGACCAACATCTTTGATAAAATGTAAGTTTTTCTTCGAAATATTGGAAATAAATGGTAAACTATTGTATCTACCCCTTTATTTTATTCTCAGGGCCGATTACTGGGTATCAAATGAACGGAAATACTGTGATTTCTGTAAATGTTGGATAAGTGACAATAAGGCGGTAAGTTGTGTTGATCAGCTGGGCAGGGAAAACCATCTAAGAACTCTTCAAGGGCTGTCCCCTAAACGTTTACATATTCTGCCAATTTAATAATGAAATAGGGCTCCTAACTTTGTTTGCTATGCTTTTTCTTTAGTTTTAATCGTTATTCTTTTTCCTTTTTTCCAGAGCATTTCTTTCCATGAAAATGGCAAGCGACATAAAATGAATGTGGCCAAGCGGATTACGGACATTAGCCGTAACAGCGAAAAGGCCGAACAGGAAAAACGAAAAATGGATTTAGAGATACGGAAAATGGAAGAGGCCGCCATGAAATCCTATGCCATGGACATACACAGTCGGGGTGATATGACAGCCAAATCCATTAATGCCGTTATGACAGCCGGCATTGGACCATCAACATCTGGTGGTGGTGGAGGTGATATGACACAGCCACCACCTCCCAGTAAGTATCGCCAACAAGATCCCCTTCGCCTTGCTGGTCCTGAAGACGAGGATGATCTTCCTCGTGTATCGGTGGCCAAAAAACCCGATCCAGCTGCTGTACCAAATGCATCCCTTTGGGTTGAGGGTAAAACCGATGAGGGTTATTCCTACTACTGGAATGTAAAAACCAATGAAAGTGTTTGGGTAGCACCCAAGGAAGGTTATCTCTCGTGGGAGGAATATCAACGTATCAATGATTTGGCCGTACAGCAGCAAGAGTTAAAACAAGCCGAAGAGGCCAAAAAGTTTCGTGAAAATGTCAATGAAGAGGTGGCACGTTATAATCGTGAACGGCTGAAAGTTTTTCAGAGTCACACAACGGCGGCTGAGAAAAAGGCCGAGGAGGAAGTTCGAGAGACCTTTAAGACGGAGGAAGAGGCCAAGGCCCCCGTCATGGGTGAATGGCAGACGGTGGAAACAAAGTATATCAAAATATTTTGTTAGATATTAAATTTTTAATGTTATGTTATTTTACAGACCCCCACCCGTGCCCATTAATTTGGAACTACCTCAAGTAAATAACTACTATGTTGCCCCAGTTGTTTCCGACATCCCCGCCGAGCCCCCTGTAAAACGCTTTAAAGAAAAAACCATAACAAGATTAGATCCTGAAGTTGCCAGCGGCACATCGACTTCATTCAAAAAACGCAAATTTGCTGCCAAGGGAAATGCCAGAAAACGTTTGGACGATGACTAAGCCTATAGCCCGTAGAATAATTTATAAGGTAATTTTTGTAAATTTATTATTCACAAAAAACCATTGTTTTATGGCTTAAGTAGGGGAAATTAACTATACGATTTTTATGATTTGACAATAAAGTTTATATGGATTATATGAAGAACCAAAATTGAAGTCCTCTAGTGTGTGCCCTGACTAATTCTTCTACTTCAAATTGTCCAAAAGTGCTTCACCGAAATGACGGTTTTAAACCCTAGACGCTTTTGGGCCAAATCCGTTTTAGGACATTTGGAGTCGATATAAGGATGTCGTCTGTCTGTCTGGATGATATACATGATAACTCTCGAAGGGAGTATCCGATTTAATCCAAACTTGCTACATCGTAATATTATTGTCAATCTTAGATCGAGTTCGGAGATGGACAATATTGGTCCACCAGAAGGAGCATCCCCAAAATTTTCAACATTTTCACAAAAATATCGTATAAAACAAGTAATGATCCTCCGAATTTGTATAAACTTTTCAAATCCAAATATGTGGATCAATGCCATGTCAGTTCCGAAAATCGACAATATTGGCCCACACCATCATGTAATTCCTCACAAAGTGGTGAACATTTTAATAATTATAATTTTCTTTTAAAATGTGATGTAAGTGTGGGATTGTCTACAAACACAAACATCACACCAAGGTCTGGTGTGAAATGACAGCTTTCGATCCACATCTGCTACTTCCCCACAAAGGGGTTAACATTTCGAATAACCATGAAGCTCATAAAACGCGAAATGAGCATGCGATTATTTTCAAACTCGGCACGTTAAAATATTTCTATCAATACAAGTTTAGGTGTGAACATGGAATATGTCGGACTACTACTTCTGTTACCACCTCACGAAGGGGTTGTACTTTTAAATAATTATATCTTTTAGAAAATGCGAAATAAGCATCCGATTCTCTTCAAACTTTCACACATCACAATAATGCTACTGACACAAGATCTTGTGTGAAGATGGAATAAGTCGGACCACTTCAACAAGTACCTCCCCCACAAAGGTCCAAAATTTTGAGTAATTTTAACTTTCAAAAAAATTTGAAATAAGCATCCGATTCTCTATAAATTTCACCTATTCCAAAATTTATGTCAACACACGATCTGACGTGAAGATGGAATATATCGGACTACTCCTTCTGATACCTTTCCCACAAACGGATCAAAAATTTGAATAACCAAAACGCTCATAAAATGCGAAATTAGCAGCCGATTATTTTCAAACTCGACACTTTTCTATATTTCTATCAACACAAGATCTTGTGGGAAAATGGTAGATTCCGGTCCACTCTTTCTGGTACCTCCCCCCACAAAGCGGTCAACATTTGAAATAACCATGATACTCAAAAATCCGAAATAAGCATCCGATTCTCTTCAAATTGTACACATCCCAATATTTCCACTAACACAAGATCTGGTGCGAAGATGGAATATGTCGGAACATTTTTTTCTGGTAACTCCCCCACGAGTTCAAATTTTTTTTGAATAACTACAACTCTCAAAAAATGTGAAATAAGCAGCCGATTATTTTCAAACTCGGCACGTCTCAATATTTCTTTCAACACAAGATCTGGTGTGAAAATGATAGATTCCGGGACTACTCCTTCTGGCACGTCCCCACAAAGCGGTCAACATTTTAAATAACAATGATACTCAAAAAGCCGAAATAAGCATTCGATTATCTTCAAATTTTACATATCCCAATATTTTTACTAACACAAGATCTGGTGCGAAGATGGAATATGTCGGAAAATTTTTTCTGGTAACTCCCACACAACGAGTTCAAATTTTTTAAATAACTACAACTCCCAAAAAATGCAAAATTAGCATTCGATTCTCTCCGAATTTCACACATCTCACTATTGCTACTAAAACAAGATCTGGTGTGAAGATGATAGATTCCAATCCACTTCTTCTGGTACCTCCTCTCAAAGGGTTTTACATTTTCGAATAATTATAATTTTCATGAAATTTGAAAAAAAGTGTCCCATTCTCTCTCTTCAATTTTCACTCAATCCATTATTTCTATCAACACAAGATCTGGTGTGAAGAAGGAATATGTCGGACCACTCCTTCTGGTAACTCCCCCTACGGGTCAACATTTTGGAAAATGCGAAATTAAATTCACCCCTTCCGGTACCTCCACCACAAAATGCCAAATAAATTGAATTAAACGAAAATTGTCCTTTTTAAGAATTCCTCTTCGAAAGGGTTTTGGAATATATTTTTATCTTCTTCCCTGTATATCGATACAGGGTGAGATGAAAAAACTGCAACCAACTTCAGACTGCTATCATTTCGAAGTTACTGGTCCAGAAGAAAAGTTATTCGTGATGGAATTCAAGCGTGATAGTGTGATTTCTTTATATTTGGCTGGAAAACCACAAGTGGCTATCGCTAGAGCACTCCAGCATTTAAATGTGAATAAATCTTTTGTGTCTCGTACCATCGCTCGTTACCGTGATACTGGTAGCTTAGCAAGGAAGTGGACGGAATAATACAGCAACATCAGCAGAAATAGTTCGCAAACTAAAGAAGCCACGTGATCGAAACCCGCGTCGCAGTGGCCGAAAAATGACTCGTTGGCTGAACATATCGCAATATTCCATTCGGCAAATACTGAAAAATGAGCTCGGGGTGGTTCTAATTATTTCTTTAAACATAAGTCCCTTATGAGTACATACGAACGCGAATAACCTAACATTTATATGTCGTGATGGATTTTAGTCGCCCAACGGTCTTTTAACATTTTTTTTTGATATTTAAATTTGATTCATGGTTTTACTAGGTTCATTGTTTTAATTCCAGCTTCTCAAAGTTACTACTTTATATCTCTTTATAACTTTATAATGCTTTTCCAAATGCTTAAGGTTACAACTTATTCGCCTTAGCTTGACGTATTTTAATTTTTCTGGGGCATTGTTCCACATTACCAGTTATAAAACTTGACCTCTTCCTCTCGAAAACATCGCAAATACAAGTCCACAAATTAAATTAAAAAAAAAACCCATCCATCGTGTAGAAGAATTCACATCAAAGAAAAGACATCAATCCATTTGAGAATAAACACACGAAACAACTCCCACACAGTCTACTCTCTGTAGCCGTTTTCTTTCTTGGTTTTCTCTTCAATTCACTATTTTATTTACTACACTGGCCTGTCCTGGCCTGGCCATTGAGAAGATGTGTTTTTTTTTTTTACTGTGCCAAGATTCTTTTGTGTGACGTGTGTCGTCCACTATGAGCAGAGACTTTGAGGAGGGGATGTGGCGAGTGGGGTTGGTTTTTTTTTTCTTCTAACGAAAAACATGAATGAATGTGGGTGATGTATGGTCATGAAAAAAAAAGGGAGCTGCCATATATTTTCTGAGGAACGAGGAAATCTACTTGGCTAAGACAACTTAGGATAAAAAATTGAATATTGATGTATGTGTGAAATTTGAAGAGAATCGGACTCTTCTTTCATATTTTTATACCCTTCACCATAGTATAGAGGGTATATTTAGTTTGTCATTCCGAAATATATATATATATATATATATATATATATATATATATATATATATATATATATATATATATATATATATATATATATATATATATATATATATATATATATATATATATATATATATATATATATATATATATATATATGTCCAGAGACAGTTTCGGGGACAGCAAAATAATTAGAATTTGAATGGATTTTATAATAGTACTTTCTTCAATATACAGGTCTAACTCGATTTCGATTCAACATTTTTAATTGCTAGGCTTGTGGGGCCCTTGATATATCTTGTGACATATTTGGGAACATTATATACGTTGTGGTAATTTTGAACCATTGTCCTTCAAACATTCACAACGTATAAGATCAAATGGGTTGCCACCAAATTGTTAAATTTATGTAGCATTGCGTCATTTTATTATCGGCGTTGATAGAAAACGAATCAGGCGCTGAGAAAATTAGACAAACAGCTGACAAACTGAACTAGTCTGGTTCTAGTTCACATCGTTCCTTTCTCGGAAATGAATTGAACTCGTTTGTTTTATCAAAACACAACACAACATTTTACAAACATTTATAAAATAAATTCAATTAAAACTAGTCCGCAGGTGTTGAAGCAAAATAAAATACCCTACAATGGCATTACCCAGGAAGCTGGTGAAATAATGATAACCTTTCCTTCCGTTATCACGCTGGTTTTAATCATGGCTTCAATGGAACCGAATCTACAAATTTTGCATTGAAACGTTGGATTGAATATGGCAAAAGAGCTTCAATATGTCACTGCCGCAAGGACATGGTGAAAATCTCAATGGAAACGTTTGTGAAACGTTTTCAGCCGATAATTGGTTGAGAGGTGTTGACTACGGTTGTCATCCAGAGTACCCGGACAAAATTTGTCCAGCGCCACCACCCACCATTAATGAATATACATATTTGAAGAGAAAATCCTCCGAATGTTCAGAAAGTTCACAGCAAAAACGTGGTTGTTCCCTAGCTTTGCGGGATGATGCGACAATTTCAAATACTTTGGAAATGGAAAACTCACTCGACGATGGTGGTATGCACTCGGAACACCATTTATTGAAAAAAGTCCCTACCTTAAAGCTGCATAAAATCAATGTAGATTCCAATGATTCACCACAAAGTACTGGTGGTGGTGGTGTTATATAAAAGTCCATTGACTATAATGCTACTGTGGCTGTACAAATTCAACTTATATGGAATGCGTTGCCATGTCCGACAGTTGGAAAAAATCTTCTCACTAATGGTTTTATAAAAAATACCAAACGTATGCGTTTTCAAACTAAAACCATACTCTTGAGTCTTTATTATACCCTTCACCACACTGTGGTACAGGGTATTATGTCTTTGTGCATATGTTTGTAACAGGCAAAAATAATCGAGATAGACCCATGGTTCCTTTTGAGAATATGCATAGAATCACTTTCTGAGTCGATTTATGCATGTCCGTCCGTCTGTCTGT